GGCGTGCGCAAGGACGGCCGCTCGTGGAAGAAGGCCGTTGCCGAGGGCTGGGTTCCCGGAAAGAACCTGTTCTCGATCGAGGAGGCCGCCGACAAGGGCACCGTTGTCATGAACCTGCTTTCCGACGCCGCCCAGCGCGATCTGTGGTCCACCATCAAGCCCTACATCACCCCTGGCAAGACCCTGTACTTCAGCCACGGGTTTGCCATCACATACAAGGACCAGACCAACGTCGTGCCGCCCGCTGGCGTCGATGTCGTCCTGTGCGCCCCCAAGGGCTCGGGCGCCACCCTGCGCACCCTGTTCCTTGACGGCAAGGGCCTGAACTCGTCGATCGCCGTTTTCCAGGATGCCTCGGGCAAGGCGCAAGAGCGCGTTGTCGGCCTTGGCGTCGCCATTGGCTCGGGCTACCTGTACGAGACTACCTTTGAGAAGGAGGTGTACTCTGATCTGGTTGGCGAGCGCGGCATCCTCATGGGCGCCATCAACGGCCTGTTCCGCGCGCAGTACGACATTCTGCGTGCCCAGGGCCACAGCCCCTCCGAGGCATTCAACGAGACCGTCGAGGAGGCCACCCAGTCGCTGTTCCCCCTGATCGGCGCCAAGGGCATGGACTGGATGTACGCCAACTGCTCCGTCACTGCCCAGCGTGGCGCCCTCGACTGGCACCAGAAGTTCTACGACGCCTCGCTCCCCGTCTTCAAGGAGCTCTACGAGTCTGTCAAGAACGGCACCGAGAGCCAGCGCTCCCTGGACAAGAACTCGCAGGCGGATTACCGCGAGTCCCTTGAGAAGGAGCTCAAGGAGATCAGAGAGGCCGAGATCTGGCGCGCCGGCGAGACCGTCCGCGGCCTGCGCCCAGAGAACAACAAGTAAAGTGCCTCCCTTTTTATTCTTTCTCATGCGGAATATGCATACTAAAAAATTTCTGTTCATACCCAGAGATTAGCTTGTTGTCCTGGCAAGATTAGCAAATAAAAAATACTAGAACAAACTCCGCTCGATTTGCAAGCAAAAGAAAAAAGCTGTGCCCGCTACCAGATTCGAACTGGTGATCTTCAGTTTACAAGACTGACGCCTTAGCCCCTTGGCCAAGCAGGCCACGTGATGGTTGCTTTTTCTGAACCGAAAATACAGATTTTGCAGGTGGAAATA